TTTTTTAGATGCTCCTATAATGTCTTTGTCTTCACAGGACGTTCCTACTCCATATAATGGTTTTTTAGAAGATTTAACTGTTATTCAACCAAGTCAAATTGTAGAAGCCGCAGAAAAAATGATAATAGATTCTTAATAAATAAATATATATATGGGCGGCCTTGTACGCAAGAGGTTCTGAACAGGGAGAGTTGTAAGAAAGAACTTCAAAGAAGATAAAAAAACGAATTATTTTTTCTTGTTTTCTTCTGTTGTTGTTTTTTTTGTCGCCTTTGCGATCTGATATTCATGTGACGATATATATAGTGTCAAACAGAGCGGTAAACCGTAGGCAGAGAGGGAGAAGAGGACAACAAACGAGGGGCTGCGACAAACTGTTTCGTCCGAGTTTCACCGACTCGTTATCATCATATATATATAGTCAAACAGAGCTGCCCGGTAAACCGTAGGCAGAGAAGGAGAAGAGGACAACAAACGAGGGGCTGTAATATATATCGCCAAACAGAGCTGTCCGGTAAACTGGGAAGAAGAGGACAACAAACGAGGGGCTGTGGCAAACTGTTTCGTTGGAGTTTCACCGACTCATCAGGAGGCTGAACCCTCAACAGTCTGCAGAATCCCCTAACTGATTACACTGTAAGTGATAATCCACCTTAACCCCAGTTGTGATTAAGCATCAACGACTGCCCGAGAACTGATACCCTGAATTGGGCACCAACCATTGCCCTCAAGGTACCTGTGACGAAAATCAAAGCAGCCTATCACTCACCCACACCAGATGGAAAACTCTACAGGCTGTCGGTTCACACCCCATGACAAGCAAGCAAAACACACACGAAACAAAGAAAGGTCTGTCACAGCCAAAAAATACACGCCAGACACGCCACTGGCACTAGAGGCACAGCATGGTCGCGAAGTGACGGCCCCGACCACTGCCGCTCGACCTGACCGGAGAAAACCGTAGCGGGGTGCTAGCGAAGTCGTGGTATATATCGTCAAACAGAGCTGCCCAGTAAACCGTAGGCAGAGAGGAAGAAGAGGACAACAAACGAGCGACTGTGACAAATTGTTTCGTCGGAGTTTCGCCGACTCATCAGGAGGCTGAACCCATCCAAGCCCTGAGAATCATGCGCAGAGACCAACAGGGCCTAGCTAAGTGACCAACCCATAACTGCTGAAACATAGACCTGAATTTGAATCCTGAGTATATATTCGGCCAGCTCGTGCTCCACTTCATATTCACTGCCTGCCTCGATTTTGGTGGAGGGTCTGTGCTGAATTGCTGCGAGGACCCTTCAGATTACCTTCATTGGCCCTCTGATACGTGTGAAGGGGATGCGTTACTCTCTCTCTCTCTCTCTCTCTCTCTCTCTCTCTCTCTCTCCCTCCCTCCCCTGCCCCCTGTATACACACACACCCCTAAAAAAATATAATGAAAAAAAATTGAGCGCATCACTAATTTGTGCATGGCTCACCGCAGAACTGCACCGCAAGTTCTATATATATATATAGAGTCAAACATAGCTGCCCAGTAAACCGTAAGCAGAGAGGGAGAAGGGAACAACAAACGAGGGGCTGTGACAAACTGTTTCATAGGAGTTTCACCTATATGTATGCAAGGAAGATGAGCAATAGCGAACTTCAGCAATCAAACAGCATCATACACATGAGACCAGATAGTCGTGACCTCGAACCAAAAGCAGAATTGCATCACGAGATTCACCAAATACGAGCACACCAAAAGCTCATAATTGACAATGCTGGAATAGTCTCATCAACATCATCAACGAAGAACCAATGTTGATATCCTATCTGGCGCCCGGCGCCCAGACTACAGATGGCAGATCCTATCTAGCCTACTCTACAATGCTGATGATGACGTCAACAGCTCCGCGAAGTACGAGCAGATCTCGGCCAATGCCGCACGCTTCAAGCACCAGGTATGTCACTCATATCACTCACAACCTCGTTCCCCAACTCACAGATGCCACTTGCACCCAAGGACCACCATGCGCCCCATCCAGCATACAGCAGCGCAGCTCGGCTATGGCTGCCTGCTCCTTCCAGCTCACCTGTGAGCGCGTGAGCCTGGCAGGCGATAGCGCAGCAGCGCTTGCGCACAAAGCAGCCAGTGCCCAAATGTCCAATGCGTAGGCAGACCCTTCCCTATATCGAAGTGGCCTGTGGCTGCGTGCTGTGCTGCAGTACTGGGACCTGGTCCAGAAGCTTCCGGTAGGCCCAGGGAGGCTGAGCCTCAGTCCGAAGTCAACAGGCCCAGGGCCTGTGGTGGTTACCAGCACCCAACTGCCCTCAGCCTTTGTTCGGTCCGCTTTGTGTATCTGGCCCAGGGCCTGCCTCAGTTACATGCAATGCAAGGCAGCCTGGGCCTGGGCGCTTCCAACCAACTGGCGCTGCGCAACTGCCTGAAATTTCCCCAGTTGCGTAGTGACCCCAAAATTGTGCCTACCTTCACTTAGGGCGGCCGACTGAGTGAAAAATAGGCTCTGTAAAGCAAATCGGGGGCCTGTGCCTCACATATATTATATATACACATATCTGGTGCTCAAAACTTCATGCGAATGACAAGTGCGCAACACGGTGTGTGTGTGTGTGTGTGTGCTTATTGGTGCGCAACACGGTGTGTGTGTGTGTGTGTGTGCTTATTGGTCCCTGCTCCCATGGGGCCAAGGGTCGGGTGTGGAAGGAACAGAGGGAGTATTGCCAACCTTCAGTGGGACAATTGGGAACATGAGCTCCTTACTAGCCCTTCGTGTATTTCAAAAGCTGCACTCAGCTATAGTATGCGAAGGCCAAATACCAAGCACCTATCTCTAGCACGTGGTCACCAAGGAGTCATGACACTCCTGAGAGGCTCAGAAATGGCCGCCACACCAACTAGCTTAGCTCAGTTGGTACCACCATAAACTAACTGTTGAAATGGAGACCTGAGTTCGAATCCAGATGAAACCAGATCATCAAAATTCTTGAATAACCTAGGGCTGGTCAGTTTCTCGATGATATCTCCAGGGCGTCACCCCTTTTATAAAAAAAGAAAAGAAAGAGCCACCATCCTGCACCGCGCCATGCCAGCACCAAACCGTGTGGACAACACCCAGTAGCAACAACCTAGGGCTGGTCAGTTTCGCGATGATATCTCAAGGCTGCTGCCCCTTTTATTAAAAAAGAAAAGACATAGCCACCATCCTGCGCCGCTCGATGCCAGCACCAATCCGTATGGACAACACCCAGTAGCAACAACCTAGGGCCAGTAGGTTTCCCAATGATATCTCAAAGGCTGCCGCCCCTTTTATAAAAAAGAAGAGAAAGAGCCACCATCCTGCGCCGCTTGAAGCCAGCACCAAACCGTATGGATGACACCCAGTAGCAACAACCTACAGTTGGGCCTGTCAGTTTCGCGATGATATCTCAAGGCTGCCGCCCCTTTTATTAAAAAAGAAAAGAAATAGCCACCACCCTGCGCCGCTCGATGCCAGCACGAAACCATATGGACAACACCCAGTAGCAACAACCTAGGGCCAGTCGGTCTCACAATGATATCTCAAGGCTGCCGCCCCTTTAATGAGAAACGAAAAGAAAGAGCCAACATCCTGTCTCGCTCGATGCCAGCACCAAACCGTATGGACGACACCCAGTAGCAACAACAGGCAGCACAGATAGATCATTGACCTTGGTTTATTCAAGGTTGCCTTTCTGCACAATGATGTACAGTTACTGTAGGTGTGATTTAACTATCTGTATACTAACCACATTCTGGTGAAGTTCAGTCACAAGAGCTGTGTGTGTGCAATGACCCAGGAGTTGGAGAGTTGCTTAGGTCTGGTCAGGACAGGAGAGGGCAGGCTGTTTTACTCGGAAGCAGAGAACAATCCACCTGGCAACGTTAATGTTGGGAGTCCGAGGCAAAGAAAACCACCCCAGTCGTTGGGCTGCCAAATCAGCGTGTCGTTTTCATCCTCGTCATCCTCACCCTCCTCATCTGCGCACATAACAAACCAACTGAGTTGTGCTCCACGCGAAGTTTCAGGAGCATCCGCACACCCCATAGCACCTTCCCCGCCCATGTTGTCGTTACGGCAGCGAGCACAACCTCCATGACCTGGCTTACACATCATGCGTCTGGAGAGGGCTTTCATCTCCTTCTCTAAGTCCTCCACAGGTATTCCATAAGCATGCAGCACCACCTCCTCGCACTCCTTGTTGAGCGTGCCTTGCTCGTCATTGTCCCTCTCGGAGCCCTTTGCACGCTCCGGAAAGGCAACGGAACGGGAACCAAGTTCTGTGTTGCTTGTGGATGGGTGTCTTGCAGAGATCATCTTAAGCATTGCAAGCCGGAGCGAGGCGGAAACATCATGCCCTTTCGCCAAAGCCCTGTAGAAGGCCAGCATGAGCGTGAATGTAGCCTCGTCATCGATTTCCCAGAGGGATGGAACAAGGCATGGTACCTGGGAAATCAAGAAGGCCCTGGCATAACTGAGAACCCCCTCAGGCCTCAAAAGACCCTTAGCAGAATTGCAGCAGCTCAAAACAACGAGAAGCGATTTCAGATCATTGCCAAACACCTCAAGAATCTCCTCTGCCTTCAATGCTCCAGGAAATTCAGCCGCTGTTGTAGGGGTAGCCCAACTGGCAGCTTGAGGTGGAGATCCCGCGGGACGTTGCTCACACATCGACGAAGCGGGTGTCTCCGTCTTCATACTCTCAGCATTGTCCTGAGGATGGGCCGGAACGATAGGCACCTGCCGCTTCACAGCTTTGTGAGGGAGAGAATTGGAAAGAGGTACTTGGGACGCAGGCACCTCTGCACTCACATTGGGCATAGCTGTCCTCCAATCGGGCAGTTTATGCGCATCTGTGTGCAGATCGACATCGTTATTGGCAGAACCAGGCGCCCTTTGCATTGTGGTGGCGTCAACGCTGACATTATCACTATGACAACCTGGTCGGTACTCTGGCATCCTCCTTTTCACGGCACCGACATCAATATCGTTAGCTACAGACAACGTTGAGGTCTCCTGAGGATGCAATGCTTCGAGACGTACACCCATTTCAAGCTCAGTGACATCGACCCCATCAATTGGTTGCATGTCCAAGGAACTGAGTTCGGCCTCTGCACCCTCGCCTGCTTCCGCACCTTTCCCTGCACTGACATCAACATCAGCAATTGCAAATGATTTTGAAATCTCCTCAGGATGCAATGCTTCCAGGGATATACCTAGTTGAGGTTGAACGCCTTTGGCCTCGTCAATTGGCCCCCTGTCGGCAGAGCTGTGCTCAGCCGCTGTTGCCGCCCTGCCTGCTTCCACACCTTCTTGGGATTTCCTGATCTTCGAAGTCTCCAGAGCTGCACTGCATGCCTGAGGCCCATCGATTCTGGTCACCTTGGGATCCATACTCTCCTCTGTCTGCATCTGACATGCTATCTCTGACGAATTCAAGGTCTCCCGAGTCTGCAGGGCATCGGGACAGACATCAGACATACCCGTGGAAGCAATCTTGACGTTGTCATCCGTAGGCTGTTGCTCAGCTGCGCAATTCGTAGGACCGACTTCCTGCGTAAAGTGTGCACCTACATCAATGCCATCAACAAAGCACGGCATCCTCGCCTCTTCTGCCTGCTGCGTCTGGAGATGTGTACCCTGTTCAGCACTCCCATCAGCGGCAGCATTGCTATCGCCAGAGGATTCATGCGAAGAACGCTGCTTAGGAACCTGCAGCCCCTCCATACCCGCGGCTTTGTCAACAAGATCAACTTGCAGCGGATTCGGGGCCGCCTCGGCCTGCAACCGGTCGCAGCATATAGCAGGTCCTTCTGTCTCACGAATTGCGGACTGGACAGCAGCGCGCTGCTGATCTGGGGCACAGAGTTCATTAACTGGTACTACTCCTGTCTTTCCATCGATGGAGTTGACGGCACGGACTTCAGCATTCTTATCAGAGGAGCTCAGTCCAATTGTGGCAGTAGGAGTTGTCGATGTCATACATGGGCGATCATCATTTTTTGCGGCGATGATCTCCACATTCGAGGCTGATTCACCACATGGATCGTGCGATAGGAGCATGGCCCCCTCCTCAAAGTCTGCATCAATCTTTAGTTCTGCCCTCGAACCGACCAGCACATGTGCTGCAAAGTGAGCAATGGGAGCACCGCACTGGAGTGCGCTAAGCACTTGCTGCTTTGTTGCATCTCTTCCAGTGAGCAGCCTTGCTGTTCCAGGCGTCAAAATCTCATAGACTTTTAGAGCTTCCTTGCCAGCATATGGAAGAGGATCCGCGTTGAAATCCAAAGGAAAAGGATCTCCGACAACAAGTGATTTCTGACCAGTACTCCCCTCTGCAGCGCTAAACATGTTGATCAGATCGTCACTTCTCTTTTTCAGCGTTGGAAGAAGATGAATTCCAGGAACGACTGCAACTGTGTGGCGCTCGACGAGATATGGCTTCTCTGAAGCACGCCGCTTTCCATCCCGGAGCATCGCGAATGGCACACTCCACAGAATCTGCACCAGCAGTCACCAAGGAAGGAGCAGGAGAGTAAATTACCCAATCCTGACAAAGGGAGGTCGTGACAATAAATAACAAAACTCGGCTCTTTCAAGGCCGGTAATTGGGCGAGACCAGTCGTAATCTCGTTAAAAAAAAAAAAAAAAAAAAAAAAGTCTCCGCATGAATTATGGACCGTATCCGTTGCCTAGGATTTATACGACAAAATGCCAGGCTGCTTGACGAATCCAGCTGGATTATATGGGGATAGGTTCATCCGGATTTCTGGATTGTTAAGAAAACGCTTAAACCACTAGTACCTTTCCCGCGTGGGAAAATAGGGAAAACTGGCTATCCTGAAAATTCGGAGGCCGGGCCCACGACAGCCGCCGATCAGATTTATCAATGGCAGTCGTTTCGTTTGTCGTCGGGCCTGGCCTCTCAATTTTCAGGATAGCCAGTTTTCCCTATTTTCCCACGCAGGAAAGGTACTAGTGGAAATCTCAAAAAACGAAAAAAGAAAAAAAAGGACATGCTGCGCAGTTCAATGACAAAAAGAAAGAAAGAAAGACAGCAAACTATGACCTTATTTTATGAAAAGCTTATAGGGGCCTAGGAGGTCCAATGGTGGGAGACCTTGAGGGGTCAACAACAGTGTTGTGGAAAATTTTAGGTTGGCGGCGGACGCGATGATCCAGTCAGTAGGGCCAGCATGAAGTGCTCGATGTAATTGTTGATTGTCCTTGAACATTGATAGGTCCAAAGGAGAAGCTCTGCCCATTGCCGATCTTCGCGTTTGTCCTCACACTCCTTTGATACCCTGTTTCTGAACCCTGTCCCCGTATCTTGTTCCGATCCGCACACTTGCCCTGACCTGATTCCCATCATCCCCACCAGTCACCTTCTTCCCTATCACCTTGCTTACCTGTGGCGACTGCGCGATGCCAGCGAAAATGGATCGATTGGTAAGCGCGTGTGGAGGGTGGCCTGCTGCGTCACGATTTGGATTTATATACTGCTGCTTGGCCACCAGGCCGTCTTCACTGCCCCGCACACAGAACTGCACACCCTTGCGCAGCATCTCAATTACAAGTGTTAATAATTGTTCTTTGAGTCTGCAGTACAGCTCGCTGCCTGGATCAGCACCTTCCACACTGCCTGCAGCCCTATGGCATCAACTTGCTGGATTTCTTCGATACCTTCCTATTAAACCACCACTACCTTTCCCATATGTTGGCCGCGGGCATCTAGTAGCCTACTCCTGAAAAATAGCCGCCACGCAGCCGTCGATATTTTTCATCGACGGCGCGTGGCGGCCGAATTTGCATTTGAGGCCCGCGGCCCCACATATGAGAAAGGTACTGGTGGTTTAAGGGACGCTTCTCCGACCTGTTACTAAGTGTACAGCACCTGAGATAGTTCCGAGATAGTTCCGAGATAGTGCCGATATAGTTCCGGGACAGTTCCGAGATAGTTCCGAAGATTGGAGTTCTCAGCAGCTTCAGAGTTCTCAGCAGCACCAGTACACCACACATCGGCCCGCGGGTGTCAGCACGAACCCGCACCACTTCGGAGGCCGTCGATTTTTTTTTTCAATGGCGCCCCACGCCGCGCAGCCCCTCTGAGTTTTGCTTGTGGCGACAATAACTTTCTGCAAGGCTGGGTCATGTACTTGCCGTTTAAGGGACGCTTCTCCGACTTGTTACTAAGTGTACAGCACCTGAGATAGTTCTGAAGGTTGGAGTTCTCAGCAGTTTCAGAGACCTTCAACTACGGTGTGTGTATAAGTTTGCTCAGGCTTTTTGCCTTTCACAAAGCGCAAGCTATGACGAGCTTTCCACACTCCATGTATATGAGTTGCTGCAAACACATAAATTGGCTACCCGATTGCGAATTGTACATCGTTTTGAAAGACAAAATGGGTTTCTAAATTCCTACACTTTACAGCATGGTTTGCATCTTTGCAGGTTCTCTTTTGTTTGCTATGTTGTGATTACTATGCAATGGTATGCTACTATGCATTCATTACTTTAGACATTTGTCAAGTATTTCAGAAGTTGTAATTAAAAATTCAATTGTCCTTTTCCCGACTCCAAAGAATCTATGTCTAGACAACAGTAGGATATTTCAATGTGTTCTTTTTATAGGATAGCTCTTTTCCAAGGTTCTCCGACCGCAGTATTTGTTCTAGATCGGCCCCGTCCCGTTCCGTTCTGTTGGACAGATTGCTCATTTGGCAGCCGGGGCATAGCCGTTTCGGAGAGGGAGGTAGTGTTCCGGATCTAACCCCAAGGCTTGATCCTTGGACTTCATGCGTGGTACCAGAAATATATATTTTTCTGCTATGTCCTTGGTGCCGACACATTTTACATTCCTTTCCCTTGGACATTTTTACCGGTACCCTCCTGGTACCAACTGATTTCGTACATACCCCTGAGCTCAGCCTAGCCGTTAGGCTGTTCCCAGGTATGCGTACCAGTCTCACGCACTGGCCAGACATCTTGTGCTGTACTCCATATTTCAGACATTGAGTGTGAGTTCGACATTGCGTTGCTGCTGGTACTTTTCTCTTAGTGTTTGTCATCGTACCAGTCGAGTTCTGCGTTGTAGTTTGCTTGTGAGTCTGTGTTCACTCCCTGCCACACCTCCTCCTCCTCCTCCTCCTCCTCCTCCTCCTCCTTTGCAAACCCAATACTCGTGAGTCTGTGTCTTCACTCAAGGTATAGGAAGCAGGCAAGTATTCTGCAAGTTGGTGCTCATGAGGCGAGAAGATGTGCCACTTAACCGTACATACTACATACGAAATTGTTTTCAGAGCAGTTTGTCACATGGTGATCAAAGTGGTTGGGCGCACACATGGGCACGTTTTGGAGGCTTTCCTCGTGGGTTCCGAAGTGAAAGGGCAATCATTAATTTTTCCAATTAAACGCGGACGGAGTTTCAATCAAGTGCAAGAATTCCAAATCAAGCATGTGTGAGTACGGAAATTGATCGAGGCTATAAATAGCCTATTGCCCCTGCGGTGATGTTACAGAGCACGAAGGCGGAGGAGCCAATGTAGAAGATCCTTGGGATGTCACAAGAGCGAAAGCTGACCATGGCTGAGTTCGAGAAAAACGAGGCACTAGCCGGAGCAACAAAGGAAGGGCATACACACGACCGAGGCAAGGCAGCAGCCAATTACCAACTACAAGAAGGTTTTGAAGGGGAAGAGCTCTGGAGCAGATGACAAGCTCATGGTAGTTGTCTTGCATTATTACAGTCAAGCGGACAAGATAACAAACAGCGGAGCACAACAGTGTGCCGCAGCTGTCCTGACCGCTGAAGGACCTCACTGATGCTGTTAAAAAGATTGCAGCCCCACATACAGCATCTAGGACCGCATTGTGCAAGAGACCGTGGAAGGCCTGATTCTTCAATTACTCTGAAAAGTCCAAGTTCGCTATGTTCTTCGATATGAGAGAGATTGGATTCTTGGTGTAACTGGACTTGTTGTTTGCCCAATTGTGGTCCGTAACTCGGTACACGATATTTGTATTAATTTGAGAATATCCTCGAAGATAGAGCTTGGCGATTAAAAAAAAGAAAGAAAAAGAAATCAAGCTAAATTCTTTGAGTTCACAGTGGACGGGAAGGGTGGCGACCCGTCTTCAGAAAGACAACAGGAGGAAGACATGGTGCCTGACTTACAGCGGGAGAAAAGTCCGGCAAGTCTTGCTGCCATCCAGAACATTGTGAATAGCCAGGTGATCAAGGGTTCAAGGCACGGCAACAGCGGAAGAAAGAGGGCAAAGGTAACAGGCGAGGTGGAGAATCCTCAGGCGGGGGACAGAGGGAGGAGACAAGCTTGGGAGAGACAGGGGATTAGTAGATGAAGCATGCATCAGAAGGATTGAGAACGGGCCACGTGCGAAGTACAGTGAGTATGGACGTTCGTTGAGATACTGTCATCCTCTCAAGGAGGAACTTGCTAAGAAGTAATAATAATTATTAAAAAATGATAATAATAATTATTGTTTATGTTTATAGTACTTTATACTACTTTATAGTCTTATTAAGTTATTATAGAATGAAAAAAGAAGTAACGTCACTGCATGGAGCAGTCGCATCCAGGGGTCTGAAGGATAGAGAACGGGCAAGGCGCATAGGTACAGCGGCTATGGACAGTCACTGAGGTACTGCCATCCTCAAGAGTAAGAATTATAACAATTAAAGGGGAAAAAAAAGGAAGTAATGCCAGTGGATGGAGCACTCCCATCCACACAGGTTCACGAAAACAATTCTGCGTACAGCAAGGAGCCAAAATTTCCCGCTCCGCAACCTCAGTTGCTATGGAAGGATAGTCCACTCCAAGAAATATCACCTTCAGTCAAATATGACCTTCAGTACCTTCTGAAAAAAGTGCTTATAGGCACAATACAAAATTGGGCCCCTGTTGTCCTTCGGGACATCCGTTAAAATTGGAACGATACAGAGAAGATTAGCATTGCCCCTGCGCAAGGATGACACACATAAATCAAGAAATGGTCCAAATTTTTACAAAAAAATTGGAAATTTTTTTTTTAAAAATGGGCCCCTGGTGCCGGAAGTGAAAAAAAAAAAAAAAAAAAACAGAAGAAGAAGGGAAAAAAAATTGTTATTTCGAAGTCGTGCTCTCCCTCAACTAACAGAAATACATCAAATAAGTTTAAAAATTAAAATTTAAATAACACATGCGAAAAACAATTAGCTATTCAATTTCGAATTGTCAATGGCTGAATCATCTTACACCATTGTCATTAGCTGTCTGGTGGCCAGACGATGGGTCAATTCGACTCAATTGTTTCACTAGTGTGATGACCTGACCAAACACGGACTGAGAGACACAGCTGATTTCTGGGTTTTGCCCATGGACTGAATGCCTTGCTGAGTTTCCCGCTTGCCACTAAGTTCTCTAAGTCTGTGTGTGTGCACGCTTGCTGGTCTGCATGTCTGTCTGAGTGCTTGATGGCTTGAGTGTGTGTGTGACCCGCAAGGGCACTTGTTCGTTCGTTGGGCCCTCAGGACCAGTACTTACCTGTGGCCGTGACATTGAGGATTGCAGCGGGGGAAAACACTCAAGTGGCGGGGGAAGAGGCCCGCAGCACTTGAAGCACTGGGTCCTAGGGGTCGGCTGGGCCTATTCTTGTGCAGTAGAATGATTTTTTCGATGTTTTGAAATTGGTCGGCTTATTGAAGTATAGCGGTAGTAAGAAGGGTATTTGATCCCTTGACCCTGGATTTTTGAAGCGACGTTCGGGCTTTCTCTTGAGCCATGTTGTCTTCCGAAGGTAGTCTTGGTTCTGTTTTCAGACCTCTGTGGGCCTTAGTTTGTAAGGATGTGGCTAGAAGTGTATGCTGAAGGTTTTGAACTGTGTACCTGGAATTTGTGGTAGGCGATGCGGTTCCTATCTTTAGCACAGTCTCGCAGGATATATATAGGCTGCTAACGCCTATTCAATCACCTCTGCGACTAAAGGCCCCTGATGAGTGCTGGGAGCGGCCAGCCGAAACTAGTTGGGTCATTCCGCTAGTTGCTGTTCTTCATGTTATATTTACATAAGTCGCGTTCAGGAAGATTTTTTTCATATCCTGTGCCTTCTTTTTCTCCCTCTGTCTTCTTCTTCTTGTTCTCCTCTTGTTGTTTTCTATGTTTGTCCCTTTCTGACTGGCTGTTTGTCTTTCTGTCGCGAGCTACGTGAATTGGTTTGACTAGTTCATGATTGTTATGGTACTAAGGATTGTCGTAGGGTGCTGTTGATTGATGATTCAAAGCTGTCGATTTCGACTCCTCCTCCCCAGGATCATAACAGTAGGTCTCGAAATTGGCCAGGATCATAACAGCAGGTCTCGAAATTGACCAGGATCATAACACTAGAGCGAAAGGGGGTCTTATGTACAGATGGCAGAGACTGCGAGGGTTAGCGGAGAGAGAGGAGGCGAAGAGAGAGGAGACTGCAGCAGTACCGGCGACAGTGAAGAAAAAGAAAGCAGTGGTCGACGTCATGCTTTCGCCTGCATTGTCCTGCTGCCTGAAGAGCTGCACAGCACAGAAGAATTGACAGGGTGATGTGCTTCCAGGATGTAGGTAGCAAGGCTATGGTTGCTGCGAACGGATTGAGGACCTGAACGAGGAGCAGCAGGTTGCGCTAATTGACACTGTTGCCAAGAGGGAAACAGTGAAAATGATGATAGACACCTGCTCTTCGCAGAAGTACATCTCCTGAAAGGTGACCCACAGGCTGCATTTGGGTTTGGGGCTGGCTGAAGACATAGGATCTCAGTAGCCTGACGGGGGTGACGATCGCCAACGGGGATGTGGTCAGGTTCAGACGGTACACATGTCAAAAACCCAAGAGCAGAGTCCAACACTACCTTCTTCCCCCGAATACAACGTACGGTCATTATAGCTGAATTTGACGCATCTGTCAATCTAGATACAGCTAGAATGACCGTACGTTGTATTCGGGGGAAGAAGGTAGTTCTCATTCTATATTTTGGACAATCTGTCGTTCCCGATGGCCTGTGCGTCGTGACATGCGTTAAAATTGGAAGTTGGAACAACACAGAGAAGAATCAGAAGATTAGAATGGCATCCAAATCAAAAGAAAAGAAGAGAAAAAAGAGAGAGATGGTATTGGGCCAGCAATTGCTTAGGGCCGCAAGAGCAGCCATCTTCTCAGCTACTCAGATGGATATGAGGAGGGGCTATATGAACAGAGGCCAGCAGAGAGCACACAGCAGTTTGTGGAGTAATAGAAGGACCTGCAGGGAGATCTGACACAAACAGTGGAGATCAGTAATATGGCATATATTTGGTTCCGGGTGCTGCGCCTCCGAGAAGGGATGTTTACCTCCAGAGGACCAGAAGTCTATTAAACCACCAGTGGGAATGAGCCTCTCCAAAAAGTTAGGGGGCTCAGGACAAGGCCCTCCCCGGGGGGGGGGGCATGATTTTTTTTTTTCGTTCAGGGCTGGGCCCAGTGCCACCCGATGGCATGGGACAATTTGTTTTTTTTTTCTACTGGCCCCTCGGACACCCTGTCCCGAGCCTCCAATTTTTTTTTTTTCAGGAGAGGCCCCACAGTATTCTCAACTTGGCTGGGGCCATGTACTGGTGGTTTAATCCCTGACCACGTACATACGAGCCTAAGTTGTGCTCTTACCAGAATACACAGCAAGAGACTTTCGGTTCAGGCCTGGGTCGGTAGCAAACAGAGCAGGCCACTTCGAAAAGCCACAGTTGCAGGCTCACAAGCCTTCAAAGGTAGCACCGTCAACTTAGGCGCATGTGAAAACTGGTGGTTTTAAAGGATCACCGCAGTCAGTCCATAGTTACGTAGTAGTAGAATCCAAGGTACAGAGCCCTTAGAAAATAATCCAAATGGTTCCCGGTTGGTTCCTGGCTGATTCCTGCGTCCGTGTGGTGTTGTGTGTGGTGTGCATCGAGTTTGGACGCTACAGCCTTGCCAGGGTGGGGCGGATATCACGACCGGTATGGTTCCACTTTTCGTACACCGTGTCATTGCTGTAGTGGTTAAGATACTTGACTCTTGAGGCCGAGGTCGCCGGTTCGAGTCCGTGCTTGCACGGAGGTGGCTGAGGCCCAGAGGTACAGATCCATAAACATAGTACACTTACTACACTATTCGTATGTTTAATCATTACTGTTGTCAATTGACTCGATTGTTAGCAAATTTTCACAAATGTTATATATATATATGTTGTCTAAAGACTCTAAATCCGATATCAGCGTCTTCACCCGAAGAGAACGCCCGATCATTATAGCCGTATTTGGGGCACTTTCCAGTCCAGATACAGCTATAATGACCAGGCGCTCTATTCGGGTGAAGACGGTAGCATTCTTCAGTGCTAAGTGTTCTTCTTTGTGTAATTCTACAGGTATCAGCTTGTCCCGTTTCTAAAGGAGCTAAAAATAGCCGCAAAAACGTCCATAATGTATACGTTGTCGACTTCCTATCTTTTCTTTTCTTTTCTTTTTTTCCCTTTTTTCGACTTTCTATTATAGATTCTAAGCATTTCCATTGAATTTGGTCATCAGTAAGTGACAGTAACATTACACAAATGCGAAGCTAATCCAAAGCAAACCGAACACGAGGTTACTGGACATCTCTAAAAATAAAATAAGAACTGTAATGTTACAGAGATGATTAGAATGGCCCCTGGATGAGTGGTGCATTTTCTGTTTTCAACTTTTCATTAAGAACGCTGGTCCCGTGTGTTGTGGGTGGGACTGTGGGACCCATGCTTGAAACCAAAAAGGAGGTCGTGGGACATCTGTTAGAAAAAAAAATTCTTATAATACAGAGAAGATTAGCATGGCCCCTGGATGAGTAGTGAATTTGCTGTTTGGTTAAGGATATTGTTGGTGTTCGTTGCGAACGGGAGCCCATGGTTGAAATCGATTCAGTACCACCAGTACATGCCATCTACAACTCTCAAAACCACCAGTACACGGCCCCAGCCTTGCAGAAAGTTTTTGTCACCACAAGCAAAACTCGGAGGGGCCGCGCGGCGTGGGGCGCCGTTGAAAAAAAAAATGGCGGCCTCCGAAGTGGTGCGGGTTTCGTGCTGACACCCGCGGGCCGATGTGTGGTGTACCGGTGCTTTAAACCACCAGTACATGCCATACATCGGTCGTGGGCCCGTTTCAGAGGCAGAAACACAATACCGGCCGTCGAGTTATTTTATCGACGGCTTGCCGGCTCCGACCTTTTCGAAGTAGGTGACGATCCATGTGATTAACCAAAGTATACTGATATTGACTGTATAATAAGACTAGATTCTTTTGAGATTCTAAATAGGATACATTTTGAAGCAGTTTTGGCCACCACTTCGTGTCCAGCAATTCGGCGGAGATGTCCACAGTTCTCCACAAGGCTGGGACCATGTACCGGCGGTTTACGCCTACTAGCATGACCTCCCGCCCATAACGCCAAGGGGCGTGTGCGAGTTCAACAAATCTAAGGGACGCAGGATCCTGTTTTCAGCTTTTGCAATGAAGTCCTTTCTTAAACCACTAGTACCTTTGTTGGTTCGGTACATACCAGGCCTCCAACCTTTCAGGAGGCCAAAACGAAACGATGGCCGCCGATCAGATTTATCAACGGCAGCCGTTGTCGGGCCCGGCCTCCTAAAAGTTCGGGACTGGGCTAAAACTTGCCGAAATGAAACGGCAAAGGTACTAGCGGTTTAACAAAAAAAAACAAAAACAAAAATCTAGTCAGTACACAGTACAAGCTTCCACAGACAGAAACTTCTTCTTGGGGAGAAACACAAACAAACAATCAAAATCCGAAAGATAGAGGATATATAATGAAGATCCAGTTCACCCCCCTCCCCCCAAAGAAAAATGGAGGGACAGAGGGAGGGAGGGCTTACGTCATGCGGCACGATTATCAACTTGTCTTCGGGGGAAAGGCTTTCGATCTGTTGCTCGATCGGCACAATCAGGAGTTCATACAGCTTTTCAAGAACTGCATTCATCATCCGTCGCCGCCTTGCCGGTGAAATCCCCATCCTTGATTGAAGTCCTTGTGTACTCCGACAACAAGATCGAGATCGTGTACAGTGTTTTTTTTCTGGCAGCTGCGAGGAGCGACTACGATGCAGCTCACTTTTCTGCAGGGAAGGAGGGGTAGATTCCGGCACCAGGTGGTCCAGTTTTATCAAATCATTGAGCTCCTCCACATGGACTTGCACTCCTTCCAACTTCGCGTATGGAATCGCATGTGCAAATATATTCCTCGCATTCATCACATATATCACAACCCTCTCATGCTCAAAATCACCGCCATGAAAATGGTACTCCACCACCAGACTCCTTGGCCCACAAAGGTCACATCCTTCTAATATTGACTTCTTTGCATTAGCCTCATCGGAATCAAAGCACTCAAAAGGCGATCTTTTCTCCGAATTGGCATTATTGCAAGCCGCAGTGTCTGCCTTGTCAGGACCTACAATTGATGCAGCATGGGTCACAGTGCCCGGCTTATCAAGTTCGAACCCAGTTACGTCGTCAGCACCATTTCGCATTCTATTCATCAGAACAGCAGATAGAAACCTGTGATGAGACCATTCACTCCAGATAAGCGCTGTAAGTGGGTCTCCATCCCGTATCCTGTCCATCTGGACTTGCAAGAATTCACTTGCGTCGGATTCCCCATAGAACCGTTCCCATTCCAAGGAAAGTTCACCGATGGCTCTCTGCTCTTCCTTGAATTTGATCAGCGCAACCTTTCGCCATTTCGCAGCTGCCTGCTCATCACCCAGTTTGCCACACAGCGTTGTCACATTAAACAACGAAAGATGTGTGTTTGTGGAAGCTGCATATTGCTCCATGCACTCTAAAGCCTCCGCGAACTCCTCTTTGTCGACATGTAGATGGCCTTTCAAATCAAGACTTGAGTATTTGCTAAGATTGTACCTTCCAGTCATCAACACACCTCCTCCTCTCAACCACTGAGGCATCATCACCTTCATCTTCTCATCTACCTTGGCCAAAAGCTTTTCGAGTTGTGCTGTGTTTGAATCACACCACCCTGAGCTGGACGGAAGACCTAAACATAAACTTGCATTGCAAAGCAGCAATGACACCTCTCGATCTGGGGTTAGCATGTGTAGCACTTCGTACACCTCCTTGGCCTGGGCGTAGAACATCCGACTCCACGTAATGTCATGCACAGAGCTCAATGCACCGAGTGCTTCCTTGCACCGTGCCCATTCCAGGCCTGTGACTTCCAGAGGGTAGTTCATCAGAGGGCTCCCAAACGTATCCTCAATGTCCATGTACAATCGGATTGCCTTGTCGAGGAGTTCCTTTGACTGCTTTTCGTTTTGCAAGACCCAAAGCACACGACCAAGATCACAGATCGAGTAAATGCACCGTATCTGATCTCGTAAACATTCCTTGTTGGCAAGCGCCAACTCCATTGCAAATTTCAGGCGCATACCACAATCCACAAACGACGATGATGAGAAGTAAGCTGGCTTCCCAAGGTCGCGAACCCCCTGCAAATCCTCCAAAACATCCACTGCCCATCTTTTGTACCCCCTCCTCAACAACTGATGAACCAATTCCTTGAATGTGGACTCTGTTATTGCAGAACACCTCCCACTGAAGTTCACCACCACTAAGCCTGTGAAACATGCCTGATCGTGATAGCTCAGTAGTTCTTCCTCCACAAGACCCAGCATCCGTGTCAGAGCTATTCTCTCCTTAATTTCCTGAAAGCAAGGCGCAAGTTCTGCACTCTCTCTCCATAAATTAAACATAACGAGTTCGTGTTCACATGATAGCTGCATGCTCAGGCAGAAGAATGGCTTACTAGTCGATGACTTCTCAGTCATGTTTGCAGAGAGCAGGTATGAGAGCTGCTTCCAAATGTTAAGCGCCGACTTCAGCGGCACTGGAGGCTTCCCATAAGACTCTAGAAGCATATCTTTGTCAATGCCTTGTAGGTTGTGATCGACCTGATCGAGCAGGAACTGGATGTCCATCAGTGCAACGGCTTTGATCGGTGCATATACATCATCGACTTTATTGCTACCCTCCTTCGTGGCACGAAGAAGATTACACAGCACATTCAACCTGCCAGAGGGTTGAAAGGGGTTTGTGTACCTCTCCATGAATGCTAGACAAAATAACGTTTCGATTTCATTGAAGGATGAGGCTGGACGCAGAATCTCCTTTAAAGTAGAGAGCGTGAATACTGGCAGCTCTTCCCATGGCTTCGGGACAAAGACACCTCTCCATAGCTCCGCAAGAAAGAAGGCAATAGTCGAGGGTCTGTCCGTCATCCACCTCCAGGTCTGGAAAGCCCTCTCCACTAGCTCCACGGCAGACGACATGCCTGCCTCTCCTCCTTTAGAGATATGAAATCGAACCTCCTGCGCGACATCCATGAAATCCAACGGCTTCTCGATTTGAATGCTTCTTTTGGACTCCTCAGACCCATACGTGCACAAGGGTCTGGGACTGGGACTGGGTCTGCGACTGGGTGTGCGCATGTGACTTGGATTGGGACTGGAATTGGCTCTGGAACTGGGTCTGGGACTGAGAATAGAGGAGACGTGTTCCACAATCTGTCCTCCATGCCCCCGAAAATGACTGCTGATGTTGCGCCACAAGCTCTGTATAGAATCTTCTGCCATCAATCTGCGAGTTTCACAACAACAGAGAGCCATGACTTAGGATCCGACAAGTGCATTGTGCTCATGACAAGTCCACCTGTGCAGCCAAACCGTCAACAACATCATGAAAAGAACGATTGCCTTCTATATCTGTGAAACGGTTTCACCCAGTTGACCCGACATTGCAGACGCAGGGATTCCATCCCTAGACCTGTGCCCTAACCCTGTACATTGACCCTGTGTGCTGAGCAGGATTCGATCCCTAGACCTATTCTGTACCCTGTACATAGGCCCAGCGATCTGCATAGGACTTAATCCCTAGGTCTGTAGGGTAGGAGTTGAGTCTGTTACCAGTAGGTCTAACGTGTCTGTTCTAGAAGTCTCTACCTAAGTCTACTGTGGTCCTAGAGTCTGTCGGTCGGTCTGTAGGTTCTAGAAGTCCGTAGGACCCTGTAGTCCAGTCCAGTCAGCAGGCACTAAGGGAAAAGGGCTGCACGTGGGGACAGGGAAAGGCCAACGCGTTCTGGAGAAGACTCCAGAAGACGCGTATGGGCCCAGGGGCCACACGGTTTGGCCCACGCAGTGAACAGAAGGCTCCAGAAACGCGGTTTGGGGGCCCAGCTGTCACGCGTTTCGGCCCAGGCCCACGCGGTTTGAGGCAGGGCCCGGGTACCTCCGAAGAACTATAAATAAACAGGCAGCGTCCAGCCATTCATTCATTCGCCTGTGAGCCATGTGGAAGTGCTGCCTTCGTATCTTGTGCGTGGAGGACTGCAGGTGCCAAGAGACGAAGTGGGCTGTGAGGAAGACAGTGGCCATAGCTGGCCAGTGAGGAAGACACCGGCGGTCATAGCCGCCCAGCTGTTGGTGTAGACAGAGTGTACAGAGTGTGTTTGTGCAGCGTGGACATTCAGGGTGATTCTCGTACGTGCGTTCATGCGAGAGTGTGGGAGCACACACACACACACACACACACACACACACACACGCACACACACTCACTCCCTCTCTCACTCACACACTCACTCCCTCTCTCGCTCACAGACACAGTCCCTGTCCCTGTTCCTCTCTCTCTGATGGCGGTGGACAAAGTGCTGATGGTTGTATAATGCCCAAGAAGAAGAAGAAGAAGTCATAGCTTCATCCTCAGTTTGGGAAGGCGAAGAAGAAGAGGAAGAAGGAAGAGGAAGAAGAAGAAGAAGAAGAAGAAGAAGAAGAAGAATTCATGTAGAAGAATAGCACATCATGTGAGGCTTTACTCTCAAGGAGGACATATTGAACACAAAAAACAACTGCAGCATCCGACAGCATCGCTCTTCCGCCTCGTCCACTCAGGAGGAGGAAAGAAAAAGGAGAAGAAGTCAGTCCAGATGACCTGAAAAACTCGCCACACAAACGGTTGAAAAAACAACGAGGGTGTGATCTACCAGGTTAGGAAAACGCCACTGCCACACTTGGACGACGGTCCTTTTATTACGTAGAGTAGAACAGCCCCACCTGACACGACCGGGGTTGACTAGGCCCCGATCATGGAGGTACGGTGACCACGTCTGATACGAGGTTAGGTAGTCACTCCTCCCCTTGCGTCAAACAATAGCCGCCTACCCTACAAGCATCATTCTAATAAGACCTCAACACCTTCCTCCCTTTCAATGATAGTGTAGCCTTCCTTCCTTAAACCACATAGGATTCGGAAGACAACATCTCGCTATGGACCAGGAGCATAGCTCCGGCGCGAGCCTCACTACCACCTACAGAGCTCACAAATCCATCAGAAATTCATCGTGACATGATAACGCCTTCAAAAACTTACTTCACAAAATTCAAGAACAACAATACAATTTACAACAAACGCTTTCACATGAAATTTCATAATGATCCAGGCTAAATAATCTTCAACAGTAGTTAAATGCCTTCAATCATAGAAATGCATCACAAAAGCGGATAATCTCGAAATGGATGAGAGTCCGGGTAAACTAATCGATCGAAATATACATCATTCCAATATAGGAATCAAATGTATGACTAAATAAATTTGCAAGCTCATGATAAAATATCTGATTAAAATATGACACATGAAAACATTAATTCTCAACACGATAACTTGAGATTTATAGATAACGTCGATGAATATTAAAACAATAACAAAATACGACTCAATCAATATCAAGACATTAAAATTTTACATCCAACTGAAATGTCGAAAATAATTTTCAAAATAAAATCAACACATAATTCACAGGGGTAAAATGATTTAAAAAAATCAATTAATAGAGATAAATCATCAGAATACGATAAATTTATCCACTGTAACATAAAATACCCGAATGTCGTTCCGCTAGGGACAACGGTAGTTTGTCGTTATCCCCGGCAATGGCGCCCCCTGTCGCTCGCATCGGCCCCCGCCTTTTCTCACGAAGAGGCGGAAACCCTCCCGGCCATGTCACGCAGGAGTTTAAACAAAACATATCACAGAGACAACTCGGAAATGACGCGAAATAATCCCGCGAACCGCCGAGACGGCCACGTGGTTGCGTCGTTCCTTCGCCGCTCTAGTCGGGTGCGGCAGCTTTACATTCCGCGGTCCCCTACGACAGGACAGGTTCCCGCAGGGCATAAGCTTGCTTCCCTAAGGGGCTGCAACCACCCTTAGGGGTGTATCCCTACCGAGCTACTGACCCACGTGCGAAAGTTTTTTACATGCAATTGCAGAGGTAGCCTGAGGTCAGTCGAGGGCGTTTGCTCGTTCGCTGTAGTACAGATACGCTTGGTTAACGCCAAGTGGACCCAAACGTCGTTCGTTCCTAGGGCGCTGATCTCCTAAGTACGAAGCGAACGTCGGTTGACTAGGACGGTCTCAACCAAGCGTGAAACCCTCTACTTAATCCTAGCCCCTTAAACATGAAGTCAAACGAAAGTTAAAACATCCACAATTGTTATATAAAAAGAAATCGATCGCAGTCGACAGGAACATACTCAATCTGAAATGATAACTGAAAGAATTCAATCATCATACAATATATCCAATCACACAAGATAAAAAAAAAACAATCCGACCATCTCAGGTGGAACTCCACAAAACAATCGTACAACCGCCAACGAGGGGTTGGTTTTTCGACAATAACATAGATGTCGCCGACAAGGTAATCGGCTGCCTTAGTTTTGACTTGATGAGAAGCGTTGCCAAAGTCATTCATTCCACCTACCGCCGACTCAAAATTCGATACGCTCACACCTGTTTCCATACTTTCTCAATCTTATTGGATGACAGGCTACTTGATCAGGGGCATTGCTTGAAGTGTTGCATACTTCTCCCTTTAGGAAGTGGTCTGGGGTACCCCTCCTCCTCGCCCGAGCACAAAACTCGGATCTCAGAAGTCGGGTCGCCTCCACCGAATCGGCGAAGTACCCCCCCGGGGAACGGTCCACTCTGTGTCAATAAGAGGGTCGGCTCCTGAAGCAACGAACCCCCGCCCCAGATGCTTCCTGGAGAGAGAACATGTGTCCACTAGAAGTAACTTTCAATTGTTCTCATTTTTCCTAAGTTCAGAGTAACTTAAGCAAAGGGAAATCAAAAGGGATAAAGAATGAGAATCATTTGGACATGTATAGGCAAATAAGGTCATTCGGAATAGAGGCGATCAATCCTCGGGAAAAGTTAAATTCATTGTGCTTTGATTCTCTTTCTGTTTTCAAAATTCTTTTTCTCACGGCACCCATCGATTATCCTTCAGAATTTGCAAGCAAGTTCATCCAACTTACTAACGAAAGGAAAATGGTAAGGAGACGAAAATTCTCTGTCATTTTATCAGATAGTATTTTGTCTCACTTTTATACATAGTCTTTTTACTCACATGCACACCACGCAGACAGCACAATCAAAAGAAGACAAGCAAAGTCCCACTACTCACGTCAGACTCACCTTTTCACTCATGCATGATGCCCATAACCCCACTCAACCTTTTGTCCTGAACATTCAAAGCAAAAGGGTCAAGCAATGTGTGGGTGCACACAGGTGTGAAGGGAGTCTGAGTCGTCCACTCACCTTGAGTGGAGTGGTGCCGAAGAAGCGCCTTGGCTCACTCAAGAAAGTCAACCAACAAACCGTGTGTGCCGCCGAAAGTTGTAGTCTCAAGGAAAATCCTGATCAAACCACCTCTTACTTGCACACCTCACCGGCGGTAACCCAAGCGTGAAAATGGCGAGCCGCACGCGTTCCAGAAAAACACTCAATCTGGTACTACGTCAGTCCTAACTGGTCCCAAGTGGTCCCAGATGGTCCCACGCGGTTCCAGGTGGTCCCATGCTGTCAAACACTTCGTCGAATGACTATTGAGTCGAAAACCGTTTCCGCCACACTTCTAAAACAAATAAAACCGATGCCGAATCTCAAAACCGCATGCATCAAGACTGCCGCAAATGACCGCCCGCATCCCATGTCAGTCCCAATTGAATCCAGGCAGTCCCAAGTAGCCCAACCCTACTGCCGCAAGTGTTGGGTAGCCCCAACTACAAAACATTCATCTCATATGCCGCATAAAAAAATAAACCCACCTGTCGTGCTCAGATTTTGTACCGTCGCATGCCGTCAACCGCCACCATGTCACGTTGTTGCTGTCGTACACACCAATGGTAGCAGACCTTCACCAAGAAAAGCAGACGCCGCGCCACAACAAAGACCTTTCAGCGTCGTAAAAAAAAACTTCACTGCCGCGCCGCACGTCCCACCGTCGTGCCGCAATTCCATTGTCGTGCCGAACTCTCGTCGGAAAATGGCAGCACGTCGTCGCGCCGTGCCTCGTAAAAAAAAGAAAACGGCAGTGGTCCGTCGCGTCGTACCACCGTAAAAAGACGACGGCGCTTCGCCGTGCCATACCACCGTAAAAAAAAGGGCAGTGCTTCGCCTTGTCGTACCACCTCAAAAAGACAGCGGCGCTTCGCTGTGCCGTACCACTGCAAAAAACGGCGGCGCTTCGCTGTGTCGTACCACCATAAAAAAAACGGCAGCGCCTCGCCGTGTCGTACCACCGTAAAAAAAACGGCAGCGCTTCGTCGTGCCGTACCACCGTTAAAAAAAAAAGATGGCAATGCTTCGCCGTGCCGTACCACCGCAAAAAGACAGTGGCGCTTCATTGTGCCGTACCACCGCAAAAAGACGGTTGCGCGCCACTCTTCAAAACAAAGTGCCGCCGGCGTGCCATGAAAACGGCAGCGTCACCCTTCAAAATAGAGGTGTCGCGCCGACGCCGCGGTATTTTGGCTGCATAACCCCACAAAATGGGTTATGGTTGCCGAAAATATCAGTCGGCACACCTCCACCAGTTGTCGTGTTCCCCATCACTCCTTGACACACTTTGCTATCGCCCCTCCTTTCCTCCCAGTATGCAGACCCGAGTTCAATTCCCATAGGGATCGAACAAAAACTGGGTCATTTCTCGATTTATGCGTGTCAACCTTCCGCAGGGGCCATGCTAATCTGTGCGGCTGTTTTTAGTCGCGTGATCTGAACGACTGCACGGTCGAAAACGGTCGCGCTAAAAGTTCAGGACGGCTCCAAAAGGAGCTAGCCCAGAGGCGTGGCATGCTGGATTCGATCCCGATGCCTGCCGGGTACGAGTCACGTATGATAACCTACTGGGCTAGCTCCTATCACTATCGTGATAGGAGCAACTCTTCTATAAGAAGAGCTTCGCCCCCTCTCTATTCCCCCTGTTGTGGCCTTGCGGCCCTGCCTGCCTGTGGTCCAGTAGGCCCTGCCTGCCCGTGGCCTTGCAGGCCCTGCCTGCATGTGGCCTTCCCATGGATGGTTGTCCACCATAGCTCCGAGGTCACCCAACGGGTAGGCCTCGGCATTGGCCTGCTGGCCTCCCTTGGCTCGAGGTCAATCCCCCCGACCCAGAAAAAAACTTCGCATTCCTTTCGCGCCATGGCGCGACCGTTCTAATAGGTCTAGCCCTAGCGTTCCCATGTCCGCACGTTCCTGCGGCCTCGACGAAAGCGAAGCACTGCCGCTTACTGCCATTACTCTTGGACGCCGCAGGCGTCTGGACTAAAGTTCAAAAACTTTCAATCTTTCAGTCATAGGTCAGGTCTGAATTAACTTTTTGGCAAACGTCAGTCCCATCAAGCTCATCAATTCAACGAAAAAGTCGAACAGCGTCCGACGTTTAAAAACCCCGGCAAATACCTTTGTCAGGGTATTTGTCCCGACAGCGTTGTTCCTGGTTCTTTTTTTTGTTTTTTTTTTTACAATTACAAATGTTTATTACGGGCCCAGTGCCCAAGGGCGTTGGTCCTTTTAATCTACGGTCATAAATGAAGAATGCCCATAAGTGGGACCTTGTCAGAACATGGGACTCCTGGGGCGAGGTCCCACTCGCAAAAAGGATTGGATTTAATGCCCGAATATAGACGTGTCCGTGGAGAGGTGCGAAAAATTGCGGTCGATCTGCCTTTCTGCATCTCCTCTGCCATAAACACATCTAGATTCAGGCCCTTAATTCAATCCTCTTTGCTAGTGGAACCTCGCCCCTGATCTCTCATTTACTGAAAAAAACTGGATCAGAGATAATACCTCCTCTTCTCCCTCTCTGCCTACCGGGCAGTTCTATTTGACGATATATATAGATACGGCTGGGAACCCTCTGGAGCAATTGTTTGTTTTTTGTGTTTTTTTGTTTTTAAAGCTGCCTTCTCCTCATTGGGGGACAGCCATATATTTTTCTCTCACCTCACTGGCGTTCTGCCATGTCATGGAACATAGCTTTCTTTTCACTGCCTACCACTACTCCTAAGGCTTCCCCCCCCCCCCCCCCCCAAAAAAAAAAAAAAAAAAAAAAAACGAATGCCAAATACCTTCGATTAATCACAAAAAACCACCTGTCCAAACAAAATGACGTAAACAAACACGCACACACACACACACACATCTGTCTCTTATACACATCTAGATGTGTATAAGAGACAGGTCCTGGCCTGAGGACACTGCAGAAAGGTTGAGGCAGAGGCGTTCGTTGGCCCACTGAGCAGTACTCGGGTAGCTTGGCCTTCGTTTTTTCCTGTCTCTTATACACATCTAGATGTGTATAAGAGACAGGTGCGGGCTACGCCCACAAAAAAAAAAGAAATAGAAGAAGAAGAAGATACGGCTGGGAACCCTCTCTGGCAGTCGTTATGCTTTGTCTTTTCTCTATATCTGCCTTGCCGCCTGGTCCTGCCCTTCTCCTCGTCCTCCTCCTCCTCCTCCTCTTTCAACTTCTGTTCAAAGAAGACGAAGAAGAAGAAAACTGATGATCAGATGATGATCATCATGATCATCATGAATGATGACAATGATGATGATGATAATGATAATGATGATGATGAATGATGATAGCTGAGTCCTGGCCTGAGGACACTGCAGAAAGGTTGAGGCAGAGGCGTTCGTTGGCCCACTGAGCAGTACTCGGGTAGCTTGGCCTTCGTTTTTTCAGGCCCCTGATTAGTCTCCGTAAATTGCAGAATTTGGTTCTATATCCCGAAAAAGTGCTATTGGTGCTCTGAGTTTGTGCTCAAGTTCGTTTTGTTTCTCAGCCGAAGGCGGGTAATGGCCCCGCCACTTTTCAATAGTATCAGTTAAACCACCGATCAGATTGATCAACCACGGCCTCGGCCTCCTGAAAGCTCGGGTACTGGCCAGGACTTGTCGAAACCGGACGCCAAAGGTACTGGTCGGTTAACGCCAGAGTAATCAATGCTGGCAGGTTTTTTCTCAACCTTTTGCGTGAGGACGGTTTTTCCTTCGCTCTGAGTTTGTGCTCAAGCTATCTTCTTCATTCATTCTGTATATGGGACGCTGGACCCGTTTTCCAGCAGGTGACGTTCCCCACCAAAAGATGGAGCCTGTGTTTAAAAAAAAAAAAAAAAAAAAAAAGATCTTCATAA